CACGAACACACTGCTTTGCTCAAGATGCTGTCCGGATGGTTGGATTGAGGGGAAGGGTAGGTTCCAATCGGTGCTCAACTGTATACACAACCATACCCATCAATCATGCATCTGCTACATTGTCTTTTTGTACCTTTGATTAGTTGGTGGACAGACTGCTAACACCTCACATACAGATTAGTGTAGGACTATTGTATGCTACCATAGCCAGTTCTAACTAATGCTGCTGTAAGTGAACCAATCAGGGTGCATCTAGACTATGTAGACAATCTGTGTGAATGTTGTAGACATGCCACTTGATCGGTACAGTAGGGGACCTGCCGGACACAACCATTTCTAGAAAATTAGGTGCCGGTCAGACACATGCTGCAGTAGGATTCCACTAGGGGGTTCTAGTGCAGATAAAGTCTGCCTAACTCATGAGCGGATCAGACGTCGACGAGGAGAGAGTTGACGACAGTAGACTAACACGTGCAAGATCAAGTAGGATCCCATACGTGTTCAGGACCCTAGACGAGGGAGAAGAAAGACGGCTTCGTGCCGAACGCAGAGCCCGTGCTCTCGCAGCATCGAGAGAAGCAGCAAACCTTGCAGCTAGGGAACAGGCTGCAGCAGCAGCCAGGGCAGCAGCCATGTCTTCTGCAACAGCATCCTCCTCTGCAACTTCTGTTGTATTCTCTTCTGGACCCCAGTTTGGAATGCCAACAGGGTCCACGGGCACTTCCAGTTCATTAGGTTCTCGACAGTCTACAAGTCAAATGGCGGGCTCGCAGTTCAGCCCGTTGACTGCTCGCGAAAGGGAGCTCAGGGAGCTCCAGCTGGTCGAAAGGATCCGTGAACAGTTAGAGAGGGATCTGAAATAGGCTACCGATAAAGAAAAAGAAATGAAAAGTAGAGCAGCCAGGCTTTAAACGTTAGAGGCTGACAAGGCTGAATTGGAGGGCTTAGATGACTCAGGAATGAACGAGACCATGAAAGTGTCGAGGAACAACATGCTGTCGCTGCATGCGCACGTGGACAGCAGGTTGGACTTCATGCAGAGCACTTTGGACCAGATCCTGGATATTCTGACAAGGCCAGGATTTAGGCCACCAGCCCAATCGCCGCTGCCGTTAACGGCGATGTCAGGCTACATTTGGGTTATGCTGTTGGTGTTGCCCTGTTGGGCATGGACATTGACTCACGATTCTTCTGTATCATTCTCAATTGGATGGTTACTCGGTTCCATTGTACTATCTGCTTTGGCTTTGAATACTTTGCATTCTGGATTTCTGTGCTTCATCCATACTCATGTTCCTTGCATCTGTAACTCTGGAAGGTATACGTTCAGAACAGTAGAACCGTCACATATGCCCTTACTCGACTGCAAGGAACCCACCTGCTAGAAAATCAACTCATGTCCAACGCGAACTCACCCACTTGAGCAGCATGCATGAGATGACAGCACCGAGAGAAGGATTGATAAGGCAAGAGCACACCAACACAATAACACACAATGCTGAAGTCTCTTTGTCATGAAAGCCCTCTCCCTCACTCCAAACAATCAACACAACAATGTGGTACTACATCTTGACTCTCCCTTGGTATCCCTAACCCAGGGGTACGACTGCCTACCTACTGCTAAGCCTAGCCTATACCATTCATCCACCATGCAATAGAGTCATTTCTCACTTCTGCCGATGACCACTTGAAGAGTTCGCCACACTGAAGCCCCTCTCGGCCGACTACCAGGTAAGGATCTGCCAACCTCCCCACCGTTCTGCTTACTCCTCCCGAGGACCTTCGCTTCCCTATCCCCACTCTCGCTATACTCTGGGTCCAACAGCTGTGGCCCCAGCCTTCTTCCTCAGCAACCACCACTACCGCATTGGCGACTGCACGAGACTGCTCCTCCCTACATGCACGCGTTGACTCTAACACTGCTGTAGCACAGCCGTGACATGCGTCCAAATGTTTTCTCGACTGGATTGGCGTTGACTAATATACAGTGCTCAGGCTCTTCTTCGGCCAGTAGGTACGGCCTGCCGGAATCGGCTGAGACCTACCAAGCCCATGTAGAGTCACCAGGTCCCTCTCCTGGGCCTCCCATAGGGGTCGGCGCATGTTTGAATACTAGTGCATACCGTAGAGGCCTATGGAGTTGTTGCTTTTTCCTTCCCCAGCAGATTCGCAATTTTCTTTTTTTTCCAGTAGATTCGTTACTTTCCTTTCAGTAGATTCCTTCTTTTTTGTCATTCTTACCTGGAAGTAGCATGGCGACAAGTACCTCGCTCCACTATGGGGCTTGCTCCACTACTCACCAGATGTGCAAAAGACAAAAAATATCGCGGTGTATCTACCCGGGGTGTAGCAGAAGATTCATTCTCACCGGTCCACAGCTAATAGAAACGGCCCTGGATTTGAAGTTCATATAGGGTGTCGCTGCACTACTCTCCAAATGTGCAAAATGAGACTGAATCCACAGCTAGAACATGGAAAGATACATTGCCCTCTTTTTTGGCTTTTGTGCATGTGGAGAGTAGTTGCAGCGTGCCTCTAGGTGCCCTGGCCTAGAGCCAGGGCTATCAGGCTATTTTGCAGTGTTTGGCCTGTGGGACCAGGCCGCATGCTCATTCAGTCCAGTCCAGTCCTGCCGGGGACCACTGTCAGTGCCAGACCAGTCTAGTCAGTCCGCTCAGCCTCTTTCTTCATTTGCACAATTTGGAGTACGTGTGTGTCGAGTCTGCGTTGGAGCTGCGCTGTCCCTTCCAGCTCCATCTCCATCTCCCCCATCCCCATCCCTTCGTCTTGATCC